AAAAAAAAAAAAAGAAAAGAGAAACAAACAACAAAAACAAAACTAAACAGGCAACAGGACTTGGAAAGGCACCTAGAAAAAAAAAAAAAAGTCCATAGAAGACTTTGGGGTATGGGGACTCCTGTCTAGACAAGGCTGGTTTCTAACTCAAGAGATCTGCTCACCTCTGCCTCCTGAGTGCTATAAATAAATTATAAATATATATAAATATATAAATATAAATAAATATAAATACATATAAATATATATAATAAATATAAATAAATAAAGGCATGCATCACCATGCCCAGCCCAAGTTTTTTTTTTCCCCCTTGTGTGTGGATTTAGGGTATGGGGGGCTGTTTGTATGTCTCTGCACCATGTGCATGTAGTGCCCACCAAAGCCAGAAGAGGGCATCAGATTCCCTGGAACAGGAGTTACTGGCTGAGCCAACACATGATGCTGGAAATTTAACGTGAGTTTCCCCTAGGAAAGAACAGTCATTACTTAACTGCAGTTATCATCCCTCCAACCCCAAGGGCTTATCCTTTTTTAAAGAAATTAAGATTGTATTGTGTGAATATGAACACAGGTACATGTCTGCACTGAAGTTTGAAGACAAACTCTGGAGTCAGTTCTCAGTTTTCTTACCTTGGGGTAGGGAATTCCTGTTCTTTTTGCTGTATATATACTAACACTCTGGGCTGTGAGCTTCAGGGCCATTCTGTTTCTGCCTCATCTGTACTTTCTGGTCTCTCAGCAATGTTGGGATTAACCAACATTAATGTTGGGATTGCCATCATTCAAGGGAAAGAAGACAAAGCCAGAATGCACAAGTGGTAGAGAGGCTCTGTACAATTGAGCTCCACCCACAGCCCAGTAGCTACACTCAGCCCTACCTAGGGACTTTTTTGAGTCAAGGTCTCACTACTCCTACATCCCTGACTGGTTTAAGTAGGGCTAGGATCAAAGGCTTGGGCTACCATGCCTAACAAGTTCATGCAAAATCTTATTAGTGGTTGGAAAGGACAAAAAAAGGTTGTCTTTTATTAGTATATCCAGTCTATTTGAAGGGTCCTTGTGAAAATATACTGTGGCAATGGTTTAGTCTTAGAGATACTGAGAATGTTCTGAGCCAGTGGGTGTGCCTTTGAACATGCTGAGACAAGTAGGCTTCAAGGCTTTCCAGAGTTGTAATCCAAGTGTTTTGTGCCAACTGTGAACAGATAGTGGAGTATATGTGGAAAAGAGTATGAGAGAAGATGGGGCTGAATGGGGCTTAAGGACCAAGCTTGAAGTTCAGGTGTCCTAAGAATCTGTTCCTATAACCAGCTTTGGTCATTACTTAAGCCGTTAGTCTAAAACCAGGGAGATCCAATCTGTTACAGCTAAGAGGCTTTAGACCAGACCAAGTGGAGGGAGTGAAGTTAGGTGTTTGGTATTCTGGGCCTCCTTGGTAACCTGCTGGTACCTCTACCTCTCCTGTGAAAATAGTGTAATTATGGAAAAAAAAAAAAGAACACAGAATCTTAAATGGGCTGGGCATGGTGGTACCCACCTTTAATTGGAGATTAAAGCTCCCAGAACAACTCTTGAGTTGTAAACTCCAGTAATTCAAACATGGTAGAAACCAAGGACCAATACCCAAGGTTGCACAACCTCTACATAAAAGCCCTGGTATGCATGCCCTCCCACACACACACAAACAGGGACTCCCCCCTATCCCTTTGTATTTTTTCCTGGGAGAACTCAGTTCTAAGAAGTCAGATTTTTTGGCATTAGAGTGATTTAAGAGTAGAAAATAGGAAGGATGAAAATTCAAACACCAGCTCCTGGTCTTATTAGTGATGATGAAAACTCTATGTCAGCATCCCTCCACAAAGTGAGAATAACAAGACCTAGCTCATCACTTAACAGCACCGGGACATGCACATTAGTGTCAACTCTTTCCACATATCTAAAAGCACCTTCCAATCCTGGTTGTAGCTAAAGCTAACCCACAAAACAGCCCTATACATCTCCAGTGCCCAAAGTTAAACAAACAAATAAGACTTCTGCAATTTTGGTTTCTTTAAAAAAAAAAAAACACAAAAATATTTTAAGAATGTGCTGCCATTTTAATCCCAGGGATATTGGACTGCTTTGAACTATTTGAAGCACCTAACCACACGATTTGCCTTGAGCTCTAGCAGAAGCATGGTTTTGCCAGCTGTAGATAAATGCTGCAATTGTGTGACATTTGGAATTCTGGGAACTTTTCAGAGGATACATAAATGCTAGGGCCCCTGAGAGGCATGGCTGGCGGTTATTCAAGGGGGGCTGTTTGCAGTTTGTTAATAACCATGAAGAAGGAAGAAGGAAGTTTGATTCAGAGACTTTGCTAACACCTTTTCCCCTCTTAGTTTCTCTATCTAGTGGTAGAGGATAAAGCCAGAGGTGGTAGAGTTGGGATAAAGGTTGGGAAAAAGAAGCCACAAAGTATAGAAAACCAGCTACAGGAAACACTACAAGCAAGAATGACCACTGTTCAGATCAGTCTTGCCCAGAGCTGTTGTAGGCACTGGACAAACTGACAGAATAACTCAAAGCTATACTTGTCACCAGCAGCCCCAAGCACCACTGGAGTCACTCAGAAACTTCCAACATCATAGCTCACGCCAATCTCTTAATGATGCTCCAATCTCCTGACAAAATTTAAAGTTACAAAAGAAAAGACAAACATTTTTGCCTTTTTTGTTTGGGGTGGGGGTGCGGGGAGCATCTTGAGTCTCACTATATAGACCAGGGTGGCTTCAAACTCAAAGACCTATCTACCTCTGACTGAGTGGTAAGATTCAAGTTGTATGCCACCATGCTTCCAGGCACATGTTTTTGAGGACTCACTGCATCACTTGTGATTTTTCTGATGTCTCCCACCCAAGTCCTAGGACTACAGGTGGGTGCTATGCAAGATAAATTTGCCTTCTCAAATCATCTATTCAACCTTAAATTTTGAACAATAAAAGCCACTCCAAGCTAGACTTATGCTAGTTATAAAAACCCATATATAGAGCTGGGCCTATACATGCCATATACCCTTATGCCATAATTGCAGCAATCAAGAGGCAGAGGCCTGGTCTACAGTGTTTCAGGACAGCCTGAGCTCCAGAGTGAGAGGCAGTCTTAGCCATGTGGTCAGAGAGACATGGGGTCAGACAGCTCCGCAATTATGAGCCCTTGCTGTTCTAAAGGATCCAGATTCCGCTCCCAGCACCCACATATTACCTCACAACCATTCATAGGCACACACTTGATGCACACACATATACCCATGAAGACAAATACCCATAGCTCACAAAATATGTAAATCCAAAGAAAGGAAAAGACAGCTGTGTAGACAAAGAGACCACATAGTGAGAGGAAGCAGGAAGCATATCCTGAGGCAGGGATAGGGACAGTTTGGTTCCCAGAACAGCTCAAAACCACCTTAACTCAAGCTCCAGAGTGATCCAAAGCCTCTGGCCACATATACGCACAAATCCCCAGACACACACTGTATATACATAATTAAATAGTAAAGATAAATCACAGGAAGAAAGGTCAGGCAGAGAATGTATGCCTGGATGACCTCTGAAAAACCCAATGGCTCGTTTCTGTGTTAATTGGTATCCTAATTAGGGTTCCATTATCTGTGACAAACACCACAAGTGGCTTTATCTGGCTTTCGAATGCTACAGTCCATCATGAGAAAGTCGGGATAGGAACCTGGAAGTAGAACTGAAGCAGTGCTCAAGGTCGTCCTGAGCTCCAGCTGGAGGCCAGCCTGGGGAAAAGGAACACCCATTCCCATCTGTTTGTTGTTTTGTTTTTCCCAAAAAGCAACTTCTAGTCAGTTAGTAGGTACATGCCTATAGTCCTAATAACCAACTGGCATCCTGTGCTAAACATGAGTAAGATTCCACTTCAAAAATATTTAAGTCAATATTTTCACCTGACATTGGCAGGTCACCATCAAGATACAAGCACACTATGACTACATGAAATTACCTTCAAGCTAAGGTATGTATCAAGTAAATTCACATTTCTTAAGACCAATATACACCAAATATGAGTACTCCAAAGCTTAAAAACACCTGAAACTTCCAGCACCTCTGGCCCTAATTATTCTAGGTTTTGGTTATTAAATTACCTGTTTTACTAATAGATAAACAGTATATTAAGTTTAGAAAGGATTACTCAGACCATGTCAACCTGCACAAGTTTAGTTTTTCCCACAAGGGTGAGAATTACCTTTTATTTGTAGACTGATGGTTTAAATGGAAAGTTGGTAAAATTGTTTAGGTGTTGTGGTCTTACTGGAGGAGGCTGTAACACTGGAAGTTGGGCCTTGTGTGCTCTCTGCCTCTTGGTGGCAGTCTTGAGATATGAACTCTACTGTTCCTGATACCCTTTGTTCTACTATCACAGATTCTAACACTTTGTAAACCCAATTAAATTCAGTAAGTTGCACTAGTCAGGGTGTTTTACCACAGCAATAGAAAAGTAACTAAGACAGCCACAATAAACTAACTAGACTTAATAAAACTCTGGAAAAAATGAAATCAAAAGCCTAGATAACAGCAAGGTTCCTACATGTCACAAGTTTCTGTAAAACCTCAGACATTCCAAAGATTCTCCAGTTGGGTAACACTGATACCTCCTGAGGTGGTGGTTACATGAATACCCTGAAAAAACTCTTCAAAGGTTATTATTCGCATGGCCCTACCCATCCCAAGCCAGCCTGTTAATTCACTTTTTGAAAGATGTTAGAGGAGCTGGATAGATGGCTTATCAATTAAACATACTTGACTAGATTTCTAGAGTTTTGCTCCAAGCACCTGAGAGCCTAAAATCCTCTTCTGGCATTCAAAAATACATGCAAACAAGTGGTATTCACTCATATACACAATTAAAAATCATTTGGCCGGGTTTGGTGGTTACCTACCTTTAATACCAGCACTTATAGAGACAGATACATGAGTTTTAGGTCAGTTTGGTCTACATAGGGAGTTCCAGGCCAGCCAAGGCTACAGTTTCCAAAAAAATAAAATGGTAGACGAATAACTACATGGTAGATGGAGAAAAAAGCAATTTAAAAGTTGACTTTATAGCACTCTCTCAAACAAAATAGCCTTCCTCCTCCCCAGCACACACAGTATACCAAAAGACTGAAACTACAGCCTAGAGTTATGACTACACTATACATTAGTGGAAGTACAGTCTACCATGCCTCTCATCCCAGACTCAATGGGCTCTAACAACTCTTGATTGAACTTCCCAGAGCCTTACATTGCTAGCCACCATAAACAAATGCCCTTAGGTCAAATCTGCTAACATGCTCATGGCAGTTATTCTATTCTCTTTAGGCCAACACCACAAAGACCTGAAACTTGTCTTCCTGCTTTGGCTTCGGAACACCAAGAAATGATGGGCATCTGTCATTAACTTGTCTCCAAAAGCTCAATAAATGCAAATACAGCAGTATCACTTCTGGGCATATACCAAAGAAAATGAAATATACAAAATAATACCAGCTACGTAATTTTTGCAGTACTCACAAAGCTTTGTGAACTAAAACACCAACAATTCTAAGTGTGAGTGTTTTACAGTATGTGCTGTGATTATAGACGTGAACCACTATCCCCAGCAGGTAATCTGCATGTGGTATACAAGTATTCATATATGCACAGTGCTGTACAGAGAGAGACCAGACAAGTGTCTTCTTCAAGACCTCTAATCACTGGTTTGCCAGGTCATTCCCAGAAACTAGTAAGTTCAACAACAGCCTGTGCTGAGACCCTTGTCTGGAGGAGGAAAAAAAAAAAAAACAGAATCAATGCTGGAGAGATTGCTCAACAGTTAAGGATACTTGCTGCTCTTCCAGAGGACCTGAGTTCAGTTCTCAGCACCCACATGGTGACTCGCAACCATCCGTTACTTGAGTCTAAGAATCTGGTGCCCTCTTCAGACCACTATATATAGCCAGGGATGCACGTGGTACACATAGATACATGCAGGCAAAATTATACATTCACAAAATTACTCCTACACATTAAAAAATATATATCTCATGGGGGTGGTGATGGAGCACATCTTTAGTTCCAGAACTCTGGAGGCAGACTGAGTTCAAGACCAGCCTAAATTGTGAGTTCTAGGACAACCGGGCTACATACAGAGACCATGTCTCAAAAACAAACCTTCTTAAAATATTAAATATCAAACTTAAATGAGTGAATAGAAACAAACAAAAAAGCCAGGTGGTGGTGGTGGTGGTTGTGCACAGCTTTAATCCAGCACTCAGGAGGCAGAAGTAGGCAGATCTCTGAATTTGAGGTCAGACGGGTCTATACAGTGAGTTCCAGGGCAGCCAGAGCTACAGTGAGACCCTGTTATTTCAACCCAATTGAGCTACAAAGACCTAGACCTGTTCTAAAGAAACATGTAAAATCAGAGCACCAGCCCTCAGTTCCCGGCCCTTGGAACTCTTGGCAATTCTACGCACTATTAAACTATATGCTGAAACACAGAACTTGTATAAAGGGAGGGGGGAAGATAGTGAGAGGCATTGAGAACTGAAGGCAAACAGACGGACAAAACCCCTTGTCCCACCCACAAACTCCACAAGTTGTCCCTAACTTGTAACATCACCTGGAACTACATCTGGGCAAAGAACTGAGGTTGTGAGGCTGGGCTATTCTATGAAGGAGCTCATGGACAGCCACGTGTAAGTAAATTAACATATTCTGTGGCTAATCCTCATATGCCACTTTGCACAGGGAAAAATATGAGCACAGCTGTTTATCAAAGAACATGTTTTTACAAATCTGTCAGGTAAAGATAGCTAAGCGTTCTTGCTATAAAATGATGCCATTTCAACTCCTAGAACCCACAAGAGCAACTGAAATAACATACATTTTCTCTCATTTACACATATAACCAACTGCACATATGCACCAGCATACACAAAACAGGCAGAACACAGTACCTCACTACATAGGCCTGGCTGGCCTACAACTAGGCTGACATTGAACTCAGTGATCCATCCACCTGATTCTGCCCCAGTCCTAGGATTAGATGTACAAACCACATATCATTAAAAAAGGGGGGGGGGCCTGGAGAGTTGGCTCAGAGGTTAAGATAAGAGCACTGACTGTTCTTCCAGAGGTTCTGAGTTCAATTCCCAGCAACCACATGGTAGCTCACAACCATCTGTAATGGGATCTCATGTTCTCTCCTCGTGTGTCTGAGGACAACTACAGTGTACTCTCACATACATACACACACAAAAGTAAAATCTTAAAGAAAAAGAAACATTTATATTTTTAAAAAGGCGTGTATGTATGTGCATGAATGTGTAAAAACACAGTACTCATAGGTCAAGATCAATTACAAGCACCTACAACAAAAAGATAAAAAACTGTTTCCAGTAATTCAGTAACATTTGCAATGTATGAAAGTTGCTAAAATCCCAGCCATTCAAAAAAGCTGAGGGAGGCAAGAAAATCATGAATCCAGAGCCAACCTGTGGTACAGTGACTTCAATACCAGCCCGTACAACTGAGTCCCCGTTCAAAATGAATCAAGGTGCAGACAATGGGAACTCTTCTCTATAAGTTAAGAGAAACAAGAAAGGCTATTACTTGTCTGGGTATTATTACAAGAATGAAGCTAAGAGCATTAAGTCAGAGTCAAAAACAAAACACTGGATGTCACAATCCTGTCACCCATGGTGACCTGGCACTATGACATTGTGTCCATCCATTTATTTCATCTACTCACATTGCTATACTAATCTCAGTACCAAACAACGGGCACTAGTTATCTGGTAATAAAAACTTCAGCCGGGCGGTGGTGGCGCAGGCCTTTAATCCCAGCACTTGGGAGGCAGAGGCAGGCGGATTTCTGAGTTCGAGGCCAGCCTGGTCTACAGAGTGAGTTCCAGGACAGCCAGGGCTCCACAGAGACAGAGAAACCCTGTCTCGAAAAACACAACAAAACAAAACAAAAAAACTTCAACTTTTGAGACTTCTGGGCAGGAAAGAATGTCTCCAAGGTGAACAGGACATATTAGACGAATTCCGTGACAGCCAGGGCTATAGACCCAGTCTCCAAAACACAAAAAAACACCAAGAAAGCACATACTGGTCCTACAAGACCTGAGTTTAATTCTCAGCACCCACAACATATGATTAACAACTGCCTGTAGTAACTACCCCCTAAGGATCCTCCAGTCTTCTAGTCTCTGCACATACCCACACCTAACATATGTAAACAATCCACACACATAAATGAATTTTTAAAAACTAGAGAACAAAAAAAAAGCTTTAATCTTCATTCCTTCTAGCTATATGGATTAAGGAAACAATCTGTTAGCACCCTAGTACATGAAAGAGTGCTTCTCAAAATTAACACATCAAATAAACAGCATATTAAATTAGCAGATGCAAGTACATTACTGTATCTTGGCTCTGATTCTTATCCAGGCATTAAGAGTTCCCACACATGCACCACGTGTAACAAAAACACTACCCAAAGGGCATTTAGAACATTAAACCTTAAAGCATGCCTACTCCTTCACTGCAAGCAGGTAAACCTCTAATACAACCATGATTTCCTACTCCAGTCACTAGCTCTGAAGATGAAATAATTCCTCTGTAGGTGGTCAGCCTGGTATACAGAGCAAGTATACCAGGACAGCCAGGGCTACATAAGGAAACCCAGTGTAGGGGGAACTACACTTCAGCAAAAAAACTTCAATTTATGACTTAGGATAGTAGTTGTGGGGGAGGGGCACAATTCAGCAAGAAACCACTTAACAGCCCCAGGTCTTGATATATTTGTAAGGTATACTTCAACTATCACCTTCTATACAAACATGGAAATTCTTTACAAATCAGGCTGACATGGTGCCTGTCTATAATCCCAGTATTGGGAAAACTGGCAACAATTTTTAATTTTTGTTTTTAGACAGGGTTTTTCAGTATAGCCCTAGCTATCCTGCAACTAGCCAAGCTGACATTGAACTGAGATCTGACTGCCTCTGCCTCCCAAGTGCTGGAAATAAAGCATCTACCTAGAATTCATACTTTTAAAAGATTTTATGTGCTCTATGTGTACACTTGTATGCCTGAAGAGGTCATCAGATCCCATAGATGATTGTGAGCCACACATGTCGCTGCTGGAAATTAACAGCCAGTTGCTCTAACTGCTCAGCCATCTCTCCAAGTCCATTGGATTCCTAAAATTTCAAGGACTCCCCTATACAAGGCATGAAAAGGCTAAATGGCAAGATCATCCAAAAAACCTTCAGTAGAGGGAAGAATCAGTGGGCAGCTCTTGTCCAATATTACTAAAGATTGTGGTCTAGTATCTAGAAGAACACAAAACCCATCTTTGCCCCAGGCAGTTTTAACTGTAACCTTACTTTGTAAGTAACAGTGTCACCTATAAATAGCAAGTTCATGCTCAAGAACCATGCAATTGGTTGGATACACCTCATCTTTAATCCAGGAAAAGTAAGATGTGCATTCTTAAAGCATGTTACATCTGGGGGTTGGTGGTGCACGCCTTTAATCCCAACACTATGGAAGCAGAAGCAAACACATCTCAGTTCAAGGCCAGCCTAGTCTATAAAGAAAAACCCTATCTCAGAAAAATAAAGCATGATACAAAAAATAACATAACAGCAAGTTTCAGTTTACTGTTTGTGTTACATTCTAAAACATGATGCTTGCCCATTTTGGGAGGAATTGCCCTTTGCGGGGAAAGCGCTTGATTGCAGTCCATATTGGCCTTGAAATTTTTCTTAAAAGAATTTTTTTTATGTATATGAGTACACTGTAGCTGTCATCAGACACACCAGAACCCAGATCCCATTACAGATGGTTGTCACCATGTGGTTGTTGAGAATTGAACTCAGGACTTCTGGAAGACCAGTCAGCACTCTTAACCACCGAGTCATCTCTCCAGCCCTGGCCTTGAACTTCTGATCCTCCTGCCTCCACACCCAAGTACCAGGAATATAGGAATCCATAACCATGCCCAACTGGTTTGGGTTTGTCAGCTTTGGGACAGTGTATTATTATTACTAAGTAGCTCAATCAAGCTGGAAATCCTACCTCCCCAGTGCTGGGATTACCAACGTATACCTGTCATGGCTAGTTTTCAGTTCTACATACTAATTTAAAAATTCAAAAAAGTGGTTGCCAAATAAGGGCAAGTTATTAAATGTAACAAGTAAAAAGGCTTCACCACCCACTGACTGACTTTGCCCGTTTCCCCTTTATTGTTCAACTTTCCTTAAAAGAATTGTAGCCAGGAATGGCACACACCTAAATCCTAATACCCAGGAAGCAGTTTTAATTTTAAGGTCAGGACTATATTAATCTTCCATAATTTTATAATTCTAGCTGAAACACGATGAAGTTCGAAGCATCAAATTTCAAATGATCTACAGACAGCTGGATTTAGGCAAGATGTAAAAGTGA